GCCAAAAGCCGAAAGGTATAGAGGAATCTGAAGTTTGCCCCAACAAGGAAGGAAGGAAGAAGCATAGATAAAGAAAACCAAACCCCGAAATTGCTAGGGATTTCCATGACTAGAATCCATCAAGAGTCTTTTTAATGGTGGAATATTTTCTGTAACTTGAATTCTTAGATTCTTGGGTTTTCTTTTAAATTACAAGGAAAACCCCCTCACCATTAATATCCCATTTCCCGTCCCCATTACCCCATATCATCCCAAACCCTCCTCAACTCTGCCTTCAATGCATCCTCAGATCCAAACCCAACTCGGTATGTCATATGCATACACTGTTATTCATTATCTTTATTAATCTTACGGAGAATTATTTTTCATCTTCACTTGTTTAACAGAAATTCCGGGTATGGAAGTGAATAAGAAATTACTTGACGAACTTGAAGCAATGGGATTCCCACGAACAAGAGCAGAAAAAGCTCTTCAACATTCTGGTAAGATTTATAACTAACCTAGCTAATTTTTTTTTGAAAAGAGCTAATGTTAACAAAGGATATTATTCATATGGTATCTTCTTGTTAACTTTCAGTACTATTTTAATCGAGATATTAGGATGGTTAAATACCAACAATATCTTGTCAAATTGGTACCCATAACTTAAAAATCTTACTTTAGGATTAAGGTTAGGGGCACCTAATACTCCAATGTATCAATAAAATCTGGATGGTTAAATAAAGAATGAGACCTCCCTCTCCTCTGTCCATAGGGGGGGGGGGGGTAAAGGTGGATGTGTGAATTGAATAGTGTCACATAAAGGTAAAACATCAATAATCTTTTAGGGAACTGAAGATAGAGTATTTCTTGGGTAATTTTGTTAGAATTAAAAATTCCATATACCTAAAATTTAAAATACTAGATATAACAAAATAAACAAATTATATATCTTAATCTCCATAATCAATATGCAAGATTTATATGTTACCGAGAATCATCAAAGATCATCATAATTTCATTACATATAAAATCTACAAAATAAATATAATTCGTATTGAGATTTATGTTTTCTTCTCTCTATTCAACTTCGATATAGTGATAATTAATGGGTCATGTAACTCTCTAACTCTACCATTTATAAAGTTAGGATTTTTTGAATGGAAGGAAGACCTAACCTATTAAAATAATCTTTTGAGCACTTTCGTCAAACAATTCACCTTTAATTTCAAATTTTAAACTTATTTATATCACATTATATAAAACTGAAATAAAACTTAGATTCACTTGAATTACATAACTTTATTGAACTTTATAAATTTTTCATTTAAACCAATTTTAAAAACCAAATACAATTAGAGGAAGGTGGAAACCCACATAAAATTTTCCAACAAGTTCAAAAAAATTAAAAATTAGTATCCTTAAATAAAAAAAATTAAAAATTGATATTATTAAATAGAAAAAGTTAAAAATTAATATCTTTATTTAAAAATTAACAAAATTAATATTTTTAAATAAAAAAATATAAAATTAATATTTTTATTTACATCTTTTCTCTACGGCTTCAAGCTTAAATTTCCATGGTGCATTTGCAACTTGAATTTTTCATTAACTTTAGTTTCTCTTTAATGCAGATAATCCTAGCCTTGAAGCTGCTGTAAATTGGATCTTTGATCATGAAAAGGACTTAGATATTGATGAGCCCGAGGTATGGTTTTTCAATTCTCAGCTTCTTGCCACTATCTTTTAGTACTCTTCGTGGGGATTTTTGTGGGTATGGTTGATTTTTGTGAGAACAAAATATTATGGGTTTCATTTTTCATCAGATTTTTATATTTCTTTTATTTTCAGTTTTTCGGTATTGGCTTGATTATTTTTATGAACCCTATCTCATCTAGGAATGTTTGGTATGGTAGTTTAGGAATAATAATTTTGTTTAAACTATTAAGAATAAGTATTTTAGTAAATTTATTTATTTTGAAAATATTATAAATTAGTTGTTTAATAAAAATTTTAATTTAGTGGTTTGAGACTATAAATAGCAATTAAGATACAACCGTTAACAAATTAAAAAAGTTATCTTAAATAAGTTTTTTGTATCAAATCACTAGTAAATTGAAATTTTTTAACTTTATTGACAAATTTATCTATTTTAATTTTTTAGTTTTTGGCTATGATTTTTAATTAATACTTATCTAATTAGTTTTAATTTTATTTTTTTAATAACATTAAGTGATTTATATTTTTATTTTTTACATTAATTTATATTAAAAAATTATATTAACTTAATAAATAAAGTTTGTCAATTAGACGAAATGATTAAAAAAATTTATTTAAAAATAATATAATTTTTTATTTTTTAAAAATAAAAATAAGTATATGATTACATTATTATAATTTATGTTTATTATTAATATTATAAAATTAACAATTTTAATAATAAAAATATAAAAAATCACACATAATTATTTTTAAACGTATCTTTATTAATCATTTAATATTAAACAATAACTACTAACCATTATATAACCAAACAACTATATCAATTGAAATCTGTTATCCACCACTCACTACTTACTAATGGTTACTAATTATTTAGTACCCGTTATCTATTGAATTTTAATTATTACACCAAATATGCCCTTAAAGCTAACTTAGACAAGAGAGTGCATTGAAATACTCATCCTGAAAATGCAAAATCTGCGATGGTCACAAGATGGTGCTTTGCACTTTCTCTAAAACAAATTCACTTGATTATAAGTTGAGTTTAGATAGTTACCAAATCTAATCCATAACATAATTTTGCGAAGCCATAATGTTGAGCATGCGTGGAAACAGCTGTAGAGCATGTTGACAAGTACCTTTCTTTTATGATAGTCCACACGTCTCTGTTGTGGATGAACAGTCAATGCTTTTCTCAATTTCAGAAGTATGCGGCGGAGATACGATGCACTAGATTTATTAGAATGGCGCTATTCACTTTAAATAATATAATAATAAGTAGTAAGCCAAACTCATAAAGATTATTAACTAAATATTAAAAATAAAGGTGATACTATAGGAATAGTTTTTTTATATTATTTTTTTAATAAAACTTTCAAATATTATTAAATGAGTAGATGTATTTAATTTATGAGTCTCACATGAATTAAAAGAATCAATCATTTAAATGACATATTAATTTATATAAAAAGGTGAAATAAAAAGGTTGTACAAAAATTATTTTCTTAAAAATAATTAATCTTAGATTTATTTAAACAATAAAAAAAAAAGAAATTTTGTAATTAAAAATAACTAAAAGAAGATAACAATTAAAATATAGGAAACTAAGATATGAAGTACCAATGCATTTGATTTCAACATAATCAATCAATATAAATTATAGATGAATATGCTTTCAAAATCAATTAATTGAGTGTTATTGTATATGATGGGTTTTCTTAAATTAATTAATTAATTTTCTCAACTTAAGTTAATTCTCCCCTATTTATTTAATTAGTCATATCTCTATTTAATTTAAAATAAATTGATAAGTATTAACGGATGTGAAAACCTCTTTCTTAAAAAAGAAGTTATTAACTCTCTTCCTACATATGACACTAATTATTTCTTTATCTTATAGTTTAACACATGATTTATATCATTATTAATCTAATTCATGTAATTATTTCTCAAGTTCATGCTTAAATCCCATAATCAATAAAAGGTGATTAAGTTTTTAAAACATTAAATTCAACAATACAAACTTATCATGTGAGACACTTTAATTAAAAGTATAAAAATTATAAAATCTATATCAAATTGATTAGGTTACATCACAATCTTAGTCGGTTAAATTAGTTCATAATAAAAATATTAAAATTTAAAATTATATTTATGAACCAAGAATCTATGCCAAAATAAAAAAATAAAACTCAATTTGAAAATGTTAACTTTATTAATCCTTTATTGTTAATAAATTCTTGTTGTCTCTAATTTTGTTGCCAAGTGTCCACCAAAAGACTACCAAAAACCACCTAAAGCTGGTCTTAAACCAGTATCTATAATGGCACCTTTGGGGCAGAGGGTAGGATTGGACAAGATAAAATTTAATCTATAGGACTGGGTTAGATTAGATTGGATGAGATTATATTAAATCAAATACAACGTTTGGTTGATTGTTAGATATAGGAATGTCAATGGGATCGAGGGGTCCCTCCCTGTATTCATGGGATGAAGATCTTTGCGGATATTTTTTTTTACATCCTCATTTCTTGTGAGGATTTCAATTTCTCGTTAATTAATATTAAAATATAAATTTTTTATATATAATTAAATAATATTTAATTATAATATATAAAATTTTAAAAATTCAAACATAATTAACTAAAATTTTTTAAATATAAAATCAAACATAAATTGTCCAAACTAAATAAATATCAATTCAACATAAATAGTTAAATTAACAAACTTATTGATGATGGGTTAGGTTAATTTTTATGGGTTGAGTTGGGTAAATTTTGTTTAAATTTAATTTTTATTGGATTAAATTTAAGTTTGAAAATTGAACTAAATTTAAAATAAAATTAATTTACATATTTTTATAATTTTTTGTGGGGATGAGATCTCCACAGAGCCTCACAAGATGAAAAAAAATTTCACAAAATTTTAAAAAATATACCTCCCATCCCCAACCACGAAAAAGAATGTTCCTTTCCTTCCATGCATAAAAATTGAGGTAAATTGCCATCCTTAATCAAATAAACTTGGCTACACATAAATATTCATATAAATAGACGAAAATAACTCTGTACTACTGGAATTTAGTTGTTTAACCTATTATAATATCATTTTTTCCAGATTTGAGAATCATATATTAAAAACCAATTGAGTTCAATTTGGAAGAAATTTAACAAGTATAAGAATTGAAAAAAAAAATGGAAGTGAGATGGAACAGATTCTTGTTTGTTTCTTGGGAAAACAGTGCAAAAAATGAAAAATCACCAAATATTCAAATTATCTTTATGTAAAATGTGAATTACAACTTCCTTCTCATCCTCATCTACGCAACCCATGAATGCCTCTTTAACAAACAAACAAATCAATTTCGATTTGGATCAATTGGTGTTTCATTAGTCCAGTACCCCCATTTTTTCCTACATAGTTTTGACTTGAAACATCTTACCTCTCCAGATTTGCTCTTTTGAAGTTTTGATACTTTTCCATTGCCGACTTGCCAAGATTTGTCGATTCTGGGGGCTACTTCTCCTTCTTTAGCATGTCTTTCTCTTTTCTAGAACTAGATCTGTGAAGGTCATTGTTAGCTTTATATTTTCTGGCATCGTATCTTTGAACCACATAGACGACATTCTAAAGCAAGAGAGCAAGTCAATGGAGATAATAGAGGAGAAGATGAAGTAGAAGGAAGAGGAACGAAAAGATGGATTTTAGCCATCGACGAGGTAGATGACTTTTAGCCGTTGACGGAGAAGATGAGTTCTGGCACCAGCACCGATGTGCCTAACAGATTTATGGCGTCGGACTAGATTGAAAAGGGAGAGAAGATGGGTAAAATATGTAAAATACAATCTTATCTCACCTAATCCAATGGGGGAGGTGGGATACATTTTATTTAGTTTAGGTGAGACAGGATAAAAGGTTGGATAGGGTCCATCCCATATTCCCATTCTTTAGGCTCCCCAAACACGGGAACACAGCTAGATAAGATAAAAATCATATCCCATTCCGCTGTGAATCCCGACCACCAAACGTGCTGCAAGAGTTTAGAAAACTTAATTAAACTAGACATGGAACCCATACCTAAATAATAAAAATTTTGCACGAAGTTGCTGAAATTTGCTCAAGGGGTTGACACCTCAAGCTGACTCATTCACAAGGGCTTCAGTTTTGAGTTTTTATTTTTATATATTTTGTAAGTATTACCATATTTAGAAATCTAACTTTATTATAAAATTTTAAATTTATTAAATTTAATTTAAATATGGTTCTAGATATTAAATATATAAAATAATAAAAAAAAAAAGTCAACAAACAGTCCGTATCGAACTGACAAAGACCTACCGACTCGATAACTCAACAATTTACTATTAGTCTTTTTCCCCTATAATAAAGGTTCGATCTTCCTCTGTACTTCCTCTAGCGCCACTTGCCCTAATAAAAAAAAAAAAAAAAAAAAAAATGTCCGTGTCGAACTTTTGGGCCCAAAAAGCAATTTTTTTAATGGCAAAATGACAATACTGGTCCCCAACTTCTCCTCTGATACTCAAAGTTCTGATCCCTTCAATTTAGTCGGAAGAGTTCTGATTTCTTCCAATTCAATCCTTTCCTTCATCAATAATAAAAATTTTATAAAATTAAGTAAACTCATCCAATTATCAATAAGTAAAAATTTCATAGTAATATATATGAAAATTCAGTATAACGACATATATCATTGTGCGCTCCTTTCATTCATTTGGTATTCTAAATGCATTCTTCCTATAGAATATCATACATCATCTTCACTTATTTTTTAACTCATTATAAATCTTACATTCTGTAAAAGCTTGTTTAGAGGAGGATCCTGATTAAGTGCATGTATGATAAATGAAGCGGGATGGCTTGAAAAACCGGAGCTCAGGTCTTGTGTGCTCTGTCCCGAGATTTTCATATCTCATATGTTCAATTTTAACCTAGGTAGCTGTGGACATTGATATTCAGTCGTCTCCTGAAGAACCTGAACCATCTGTTATCAGAGAAGAAATGAGAATTAAAGAACAAGAGCTAAGGTTTGGTTTGAACAGATCCTTTGGTGAATGCTTCCGAACGTAATTGTTGAAAGATAAGCTTTTATATGTCATCTTCCTCTCTAATTGTCTATGGTGGTCCATTGAGAATCTGAGATCCTCTCTAAATTTTTCATCTTCCTCTCTAACTGTTTCTTTCCATACTCATTTCTTTTGTTAACTTTCAGAGATCAAGCTCGTAAAAAGAAAGAAGAAGAAGAAAAGAAAAGGGAAAGAGAAAGGGAGAAGGTATTATACAGTTGTTCATTATACAGTTATTCATGTTGTATGTTTTAGGTTTCACCTTTTGCATAAGCGTCTTCTTAGTTTGCCTAACCAGTAACCACTAGTTACATCTTTTACAGGAAAGAATTCGAGCAGGCAAGGAACTTCTTCAAGCAAAGCGAATTGCAGAGGAAAATGAAAGAAAAAGGTTTGTTTTAGTACTTGAAAAGTTTCTCCTTTAAAATGGACATTCTTCTTCTTCTTTGTTTATATCCTTTCTAGTCTCTTTTGGCGTGACGTTGTTTTCTCCACTTTACTTTCTGAATGCACAATTATCAGTTATTTAGCCGTGCAAAAGGCAGCGAAAGAAGAAGAGAAAAGAGCAAGGGAAAAAATCCTTCAGAAACTAGAAGCAGATAAGGTGTTTCTTTATTCTTATTTCTTTCAATGTGACTTTTACAGCTGATCATATACCAGCATTGGGATCAAATAATCCATACTTGTAAAAGTTTTTTGATTTAGTTTTATAATAACCCTTTTGCCTTAGCTTTCTTAAGATTGGAGAACATAATTTCTACTGGTGATGAAATAGAGAGCTTTATAGAAACGTGTATGGTTAATGAGAGGTATAGTTTCACTAGTTGAAAACAGTGAAGGTTCTCTAATAAATACCTAAGGAGGATCTGAACTCTGAGTAATCAATTAATTACCTACAGCTCTTATACCTTGCAGAAAGAATGACAACCAGCTACTTTACCATATAGGCAAAGCAACAGATTAATGGCTAAGGTTAAATTTAAAAAAAAAAAATGCAATCACTTTGCTCATACTTTTTCTTTGTTTTATCGATGGCTCTACTAGTCTGCTGGCATTCAACTATGATTTTATTTCTTTATAGTTAGAAAGGGGGAGGAACCTCGGGTTGCCACCAGTTAAGAAGAACCCTACTGCTGAAAATACTTCTGCACCAAATGTACAGGAAAAACAGGAGAAAAAGGTCTATCATACCTTCTAGATTCTTCATCTGCAAACCTAAGAAATCCTACACTTGTTGCAAAATCAAGTTGATATGAAATATGATTGATCTTGTGAATTGCAGAAGCCTTTACCTGCTGTGCCTTATGCAAAGGCTGAGCTTTTGGGAGAATGTTTGAGGTCTCTAAGGCGCAATTACAAGGTATGTGACATTTTAATTCATTGTTTTCACAGCTAACTGAACCAAAAGAAAAAGGAGTAGGGTTTCTCCAACTCAAGCATGGATGTTGCACAAATGCTATTTTCACACTTGCACTCAAAATTTTTGTAATTTTCGTAGTTATATGCATTTTTACAAGTTTTAGGAATTATGAATTTCTCTTCAAGCTGGATATAATGTTAGAACTTTGAATGCTATACTTTCTGTTCTTACAAAATTTTTCTATTTCCATTTTATATATTGTAAACTGTTACTTATCACTTCCATTAGCTGCCCTTCTTTTCACCGGCCTTTTCTGTAATTGTCTAACATACTTAACCGTAAGAAACTTGTTTCTTATCTTGTAATTCTAGGATTATGATGCCAAAGTTCAAAGAGCCTTCCACCTGCTTCTGTTTTATGTTAAAAACGTTGTAAATAATCCTCATGAGGAGAAGTACAGGAGGATTCGACTCAGTAATCCATATTTCAATGTAAGCTAACTCTTTGAAATGGGTCATGGTATCGAAACTGCTTCTATGATATGTCAAGATCTAAATTCCAATCTGCCTTTTTGATTGTCTTGCCTATGGATTTAACTGGTGAAAAATAAATTACTCTATGTTGTAATCTGACATGCTGTTGGAATTAGGAGATGAGACTTTTAAGTCGCCAACAGAAAATTCACATTCATATATCATAATGCACTTCTCTTTTAACAGGAATGGATTGGGGCCTTGAAAGGTGGTGTTGAGTTTCTCGAGCTTTGTGGGTTTGAGAGGAGCAAAGGGAATGAGTTCTTGGTTCTTCCTTATGAGAAAACTGACGTGGCAATACTAAACTCTGCTCTTACTGTATTAGTACTTGCAATAACAACTCCCTTCTTTGGGCGTTTCTCACATCCAAGAGAAGATTAGGTATGAGAGTACAAGGTTAATAAATGACATGAGTTGAAACTTGGATGTGAATGTTTCATGGAAGTAGTCGAAGTGTTCACACAGAAGTCCTAAGAATGTAAGGACTCATCAAAGTTACTAAGAGTTTAAGTGTTGTAAATAATGTATCCATTGACATACCAAAATGAATGGAGTTATTCTCTATCTAAATAAAATGAGATGGATCACCAAAGTCTCTATGTAGAGATTGAGTAGAGTTGAAGGGCTGATTAAACGTGGGGAAGGTGTTGAGCACCTCACAATTTTTGTCTAAATATAGTTGCTACATACTTTAGTTTTTAGGTAATTCAATTGATAAATATTTAAAAAAAAAAAAAAAAAAAAACCGGATTCACAGTAACAAATTAGCTAAAGAAAAGAAAAAAAAAAAACTGCAGAATGAGTGAAAAAAAAAATGCATGATTGGACTAGTAAACAAGAGAAAACACTCGGTTACTGAGTCTAAGTTAATAGAAATCTCTACATGAGACAACTTATTTTCACTTTATTTTGCACTTTATCTAAGTTTCATTAATCCACAATCAAAGAGAATAGAAAATCTAAACTAAAATTTGGCTATTCGATAGAAACTAAACCAAAGCTACAATAAACATTTTATTACCCATTTTTGTTTTCGGACCTGATACCCATATACCAAAAATTGAATTGTAAGCAATCATGGTTCCTGAACAGATAGAACACGTGAATTCCTCATGTTAATTATTTTTAATCAAGATAAATCATAGAAATGATAGAACAAATTCAAATACATGACTCTTAATAACAGAAAATTCACAGATCAATAATAAAACCAAACCAACAATTCCATGATTAATTTATGGCAAAACAGAACATGAATATAAAGTTAAGAATTTAAAAGCATGGAAACCTATAAGAAAGTTGAAAATTCAAAGCTCTATTGTTTTGAAAATTCCAAATACAAGCTTTAACCTTTCTTTCCTCTCTACCTCACACCCTCTTTGCTTATCAAAACCCTTTTATACAAAAAGATGTAGAACCTATACCCTTCATGAAACCGGCCTAACAACTCTTCAAACCAAAGTCCACTAGCCTTTAAAAGCCCAAGCTGTTAGTTATGATTAGTCTTCACAATTATATACCAAACTTACGCATAAGTGACATTACAATCCCCCCACTTAAATGCTTGATGTCCTCATCAGAACCAGGCCTATTAGGCCAACTAAAGTGATGTGGAGTCCACACTACCACCAACTGTGTTGGTTAGTATAGATTCACACTTACGAGAGGTGACCACTTTAATACCAACTAAAACAACCCAAGCTAAAACTCACCATTGGCCTAACAACTCTTTGGGTCAAGGTCCACAACCTCAAAAACTCAAGCTCAAGCTCATTTGTAGTGGTTGGTTTTCACACTTATATACCAAATTCACTTGCAAGTCCCCACCAATGTGGCATTTGGGGCATTTCATTTCATGCTACTTCTAAACCTAATTCCTAAATCCCTAAATTACAGGTAATAATTTAATTCGCTCAAAATTGGAATTTCGAAAACTTAGTTCTTCATGAATCCTCTAAGACTAGATTCATACCTTCTAGTGATTGAGGCTCCAAAATTTGAATCAATTTCAAAATCTTCCACCTTGTAACCCGCAGTTTTTAGTGATGACTTCAAATCCAAAAATTTCATCATGTTGATGCCATGATCCATCTGAATTCAAGTAGAATTAGGGATAAACCAAGAAAAATTAATGATTTTTTGGGAGATTGACTGATAACAGAGTAAGAGGAGTTGAGAGATTTGAAGGCTAGGGTTCAATTGAACCTTGGCCCTTTATTTTAAATATATCTTAAAAATGAGACGACGTCATTTTGTCAATTTTTCTCTTAGACCTTCAGGTTTCATGCTCTTTACAATATGATCCATTAACTTCCAATATTATTGTTCAACCCCTAGTCAAAATCGAGTTGTGATAGTATCTTTGAGAAAAGAAAGATAAAGCCTAGGAATACTTTGTCCATCAAACTGAATGATGTATGCAAGAGAAAATCCTTCCCTTGATGAACATCTTTTATGTGAATTCTTTTCTATGTACTAAAGTAATTTGAGTAAAAGAAAACATTTTAAAAGAGAAAAATGCAACTCAAAAGAACAAATGGTTATTCAGAGTTAGTGTAGTGTAAGTTGTCATTTTAAAAGTTTTTTTAGAGGATTTGTCTAAAATTTTACAGTTAAATTATTATTTTTAAGAACTAGTTATTGAATTGAAAATTTTATTCATATAAATCATGCTTATTAATTTTCATATTAGTTTGATATTTATAATCTTTTGATAAAAGAAACTCTATTTATTGACATATATTTAACGATTTTGTATAATTAGTGAACTAAAATCTCCTAGGTCAATATGAAAATTGACATACATAATTTATATGGGCAGTACTTTGAATCCAATAATTAGTTTTTTGAAATATTAATTGAAAAATAAATTTTTAGACATATAACTAAAAAATTTTAAGAGTACGACTTATAAATTATCTTTTCCTTAAAATTAAGTATGCTTCTTTTAAATTTTTGTCATTTTGTGCTTATAAATTGATACAAAAGGAGGTGATAAAATAGACAATCTAACAATAGATATAGATTTATGTCATTTCCTTTGATCTTGATGCATAGTGTTGAACTAATTATGTGATTCAACATTCTACTTTCATATGTTATTTTTCTCCAATTACTAAAATTAATCTTTTAAATAAATTAACACCCTTTTGCGGATCAAATAGTTGCAATGACATCACCATATATTTAACAAGAGCTACATCTATAGAAAAACTATTAATTATTATTTATATATGAAAAGAAAACTTAATTATTACTCATATAGATTATTAAATTTTTATCTAAATTTTATATATAAAAAAATAAAATTTAAATTAAACCTACTAAAAATAGATACAAGGAGTGCCATTTTTTAGATATATCAGGATGAACTCTTTCTGAGATATTATCCACAATTTCCATAGTGAAGTATAACTAGGTTGACCAACCTCACTTTACAAGATGTGTGTATATATTATTAAAAAAAAGTTGATATGATGTACCTTGTTAAATTTAGTTAATTTATAAATTCCATACATTATTTATGTTTTTTTATGGATTTTATATAATTTTTATTATTTGTTAAAAAGAACTTAAATGTAAAGAAAAGCTTTGGACTTAAGTGATAATTTCTTAAAAATTGAATGACTAAATGGCAAGAAGAAAGGTTACGATTATGAACCTCAATGAATGAATTTGAATTTTAAGTACCAAAGTGTTCATAAAGTAGAAAAAGAATAACACAGATGTGCTATTTTGCCATTAAACAATTTGCAAAAAGATTAAAACCCCAACATGAGTTGGGTGCTAACATTGCCTTTGTAGGTGTTGATATTATATGTTAATATGAATACCCTCTATTCTGATACATAAGTGTCAATGCCTATATTTTAGCATCAACACTTCTATTGCATTATTCAAATTATCCAAATTAACTTTAAGTTAATAGTCGTCACTTTTATTTTTTTTAACATGCCAACAATTTATGTGAATCTAATAGACAAAATCCATCTACTAATTCAACAATGACATCCAATTAATTTTTAACTAGTCAAATTTGAAAGGTAATATTTTAATTAGAAACTTATAAAGATAATAATCTTAATTAGTTAAAAAAAATAGTATTCTTAATTAGAAAAAAATAAAATATGTGTAAAATCTCCATAATTGCCTTCAAAATCTAGAAAATCTCCTCCTATTTCAAATTGGGCCTTCCAATCCAAGTTTGGTTTAAACTCTTGAATTTATAGATCAAGTTATTTTATTTAGCCTAGCCTAACTCCAAAGGGACCAAAATAATAATTTGATTGTGGAAATCAAATCTTACCTTTTATTTTTATTTTTTTCATTTAATAATGGTTTAGGTTGTTGGTGTCATTAGGGTCTACAGAGGTATTATTAAGTTGAAATCTTTATTTTGTTACTTACAAATCACAAGTTATGTAGGAGAATCACTATAGATCCAATACTGACAAAATCCTAAATTTTTCTTTTTCTGCTTGACTTTGTATTTTAGGGGATTCATGATCAGAAAAGGAAATAATGGTCACAAAAATTTTGTTTCTCTTCTTATGCAATAGCCAAGCCTTAATTGTTGGGAAAAAGGAGCAAACACTAGAAAAGATAATTGCTGGCTATTATTTTAGAGACTTGGTGTCTCACAAACTTAGAATTGCAACCACCACTTGCTTTCCCCTTCATCTTTTTTATTTTATTTTATTTTATTTTATTTTTTATTGCCTTTTAGTAGCTAAGGGTTCATAAAAGTGAAAATTTTGTCTTATTGTAGTGAATTTAGGTCTTCGAAAGAATAAGGTAGAAATATATGTATAATTTTTTTTTCAGTCTATATATAATGTATTGGTTTTCTTTTTGATAAACTTGTTTTTAGTTTTGTTTTCTGTTCAAGAGTTGAACATTTTGGTTACTTTTCTTGGTAAGTGATGATTTTTTGTTGTCTTGAAATTTTTGTGAAGCCTGTATTTTTCAAGCTTTTCTTTTACTAATATGTTGAGTAATATTTGAAAAGAGTAATTATTTATATGACTTGTTATTGATGTTATCTTTTAAAGTATTTCTAACTTTCACACATCAAGCCTTATAGACCACTTGATAAATGCATCAAATACCTTGAAAATAACCAAGATTTGAATCATGGTACTATCATGTTACAATTCCCCATCTCTTACCCCAATTGTAACTATTCAAAAAAAAAAAATCACAAATTTTATCTAATTGTGTCAGTTATGTGCAATGGAAATTGGAAACTAAGAAATGTCTTAAACTCCATCAATCAATTGAGGCATATTTAGTGCATGGTGGTAATTGTATGAGATTTAATAATGTAGTTGATTATATTCTTTAAGGTATTGCTTTAAGATAAACATCTTGATTTGTTGAGCAAATGATCTTATTACGGCGTAAACCAATTTTGGTTGATTATAATGTCGATATTGGAGATGTCATACATTTGATTGAAGAATTACCTGAGGATTGTGAGCTACATTTGGATGATTTTTTTATGTATTAGAGAGTTTAGTTCATGTGACATAGAAATTG